TAGAACCGGAACTGGAATCGAAACCGAACCGGGGTCAACGATTTTTGAACCGAACCGAATGCGGTTTGACCAGAACCGGAACTGGAACCGAGAACTCACGGTTAGAACTGCGGTTCTAACCATTCGTACCTGTTTTTTATATAAAAAAAATTAAAATATTTAAATCGTCGGATTAAAAAAAATAAAAGAATTAAAATAATGAAATTCCACAGTGGCAGCTCCAAACGGTTGGATTTTCAAAACAAAAATAATAAAAATAAAAAATCCACGTGGCAATTCTAAACGGTCGGATTTTCAAAAAGAAAAATTAAAAAAAGAAGAAATGCAACGGTCAAAATTTCCGAGGGCGATGGGCGATAGGTAAGTAAGGTAAGTAAGAACTACGTGGCTTCGATTCGTTTTGTTAAAAAAGGATACGTAGCCAACTTAATCTCTAAAATTTAAAGTTTAACTTTGAACTTTACAATTTAAAAATTAAGTGCAAGCCCTTTGATTTTTTTTCATTTTCCTTTTTTCTTTTTTTTTTTAAAAACTAAAACTAATTCCTTTACATTTTATAAAAGTAAAAAAAAAAAATTAAGTATTTTAAAAAAACTTTATTTTTTTAATAAGTTAAATTTATATATATATATATATATATATATATATATATATATATATATATATATATATATATATATATATATATATATATATATATATATATATATAGTCAGAACCGGCCGGTTCTAACCGGGAACCGTAAAGAACCGAACCGGAACCGGAACCGGGATCGACAGTTTGGAGCCGGAAGCGGAACCGAACCGTGGTCATGTCTAAGTCCAGTGGCGAATCCAAAATTTCATTATTGGAGGGTCGAATATGCATTAAAGTAAAGTAAAGAAAATACTAACAACAATGATTGTTCAACCAAGTCAATATTGTTACAAGGTGGACTTAAATGTTTGAGGAGAATGGTGGGAGCTTAATAGCATTGCTGATGTGTGTGCTAAAATGGGGACTACTTGTTTGTTTTCATGTTTTCAACAATCTATTTGGTTACCGATCTCTTTTAATTTGTAACTACTCCAGATATATATGTACTACTAAAGTTTGTAGCTGTTCTCTTTTGCTGAAAATGATAATATAAGTTGATGTTTTTGTTCAAAAATAAATTATATATACATATATAATAGTAAAATAAAATTAAAATTTGAGGGGGGTCACTGCCCCCGGCCCTACACTGGCTTCCCTACTGATTGAGTCTTTCTTCTCTTTTCTTTTGTGAGTGAATGAGAACATATCTCTAAGTGAGGGAAACACAATGCCCAAGTGTGTTCAGATCCGTGAGAGATTTAAGGGTCGGAGATTGGAGTTCGGGTTAAACCCGAATCCCCAACTCTCATAAGATATAAGTAGAACAGTGATATATTATTCTGTTTACTTTGTAACTATGTTCACACGAGTACCCAATATAGTCAAAATATTCTTCTAATGGTAACCCAATTTACTACCACAAACACACAATATTTAGTACAAACAATAAATCGAGGAAGTTGAATTATCGCATGCATGCTTGTAAGTATTCATCATCTTTTTATCTTCCTTTATCTTTTATCTTTTTTTTTTGGGTAAATTACAAACACCCCCTGAGGTATGATCAAATTACAAAAACACCCCTCTTGTTTGGGTAATTACAACCACCCCTCAACTCCTCAAATTTAGTGGAATTTTCAAGATTATATGGAATATTATCACTTTTATACCCGTTTTATCCCATTCAAACTCTACATTATGAAGCAAGATGATCATAATATGTGATTTTTAGCTTGTATATATTAGTTTGTGGTGCATCGAAAACTGTATTTTTACACAAAACGAGTACAAACTAGAGCACATTTCACCGAATCTAGATGATTATGTTGAATTTGGTACCATAAGGGTGGAGGTGTAAGAAAAAATCATAGTTTAGGGGGTAGATGTAATTATTCAAACAAGAGGGGTTTTTTTGTAATTTGACCATACCTCAGGGGTGTTTGTAATTTACCCTTTTTTTTTCAAAGATACCCACCCGGGCACGGCTTACAAGGATTATTAAAGTATTAAAGCTTGCTCAAGAATCAAATAGTCAACACTACGAAGAAATTAAAAGAAGAAGAAAGAAATCACATATAGTAGTTCATTGCAGCTTGATCAGGAGCGGACCCGGAACATTTTAAAAGGGGTGTATATTTCATTTTGAATTCTTGCACGTGTATTTTTTTTAAATGTTTATTTGCATCGGGTGACTGTTAAAATCGTAGATCTACAAATAGTGGATGATTATTTAACATCATCAACAGCACTTAATAACAAACATTCGGTGTAAATAGTCTTAGTATAACATCTATCTCCCAATGTTAAATGACTACCTCACTGAAAAAATTAAACTGATAGAGAAACGCATTATTTAATTTAATCAAAACCTAAAAGATATTATGTCATTACTTCTATAAAAAAAAAATTAACTAAGGGCTGGAAAATGTAACCTCGAGTTTAGGGCAGCATTTAACGACGATTGCGGCTAATTACGAAATTAATTAAAAAAAAGGTTTAGCACTTAGCAGGAAGACATAGGGTATGCCCCATTATAGAGAACAAGATGATGAAAAGGAGAAATGAGGTTCTGAATGAAACCCCTAAAAATACAAAATAATGATTCTTAATTAATTAATTAATTTTTAATTAATTGGTGGCAGAAATCATGGGCCCTTAATTTTGAACTTTGAACTACTTTTGTTGTCTGCCAATCCTCTACCTCAATTGAAAAATGGTTTATAAAAATAATAAAGGACCTGTTGTTTGTTCAAAAGGTAGGTAATTGGGTTTCGTTTTGTTTTTTATGTTCTTTAGATATGGGATTGATTATGAAAGTAAGCCCTTAAAATTTAAAATAATAAACTATGTTTAAATATATTTTTGCGATTTTGTATTTGGGAAGCCAAGTTGATAATGTGGAAATTTAAGGTGAAGAGACTACTCAAAGAATACAACTTTTGTTTAATGAAAAAAATAGAATTGAATATTTTTCTATTATTTAAATATTTGAGGATATATCTGGAGCCCCTTAAAAAAATATATTACAAATCGTGCACACATATATACCAAAATTGTTTGCCAACATCTAATCTCCTTTGGGCTGCACTTGGATTTGAACTTGTTCGGATTGAGTTATTTGACAACGAATTTGAAACCTATAGCCCTCGACTTTGTTTCTTTTAGCAATTGTAGATGATTTAAATTCAATTTTATTTGGAGTCATTTCAAATATTTTCTATTTGAAGTTATTTTAAACCCTTTAACCAAATGCAATCTTACTGATATTATATAGAAAAATCTTGTTGAGTTATTCAAGCACGAATGAGATGTGGTATTAGGCTGAATGATTATGAATGACATATTCTCTTATTGTACTGTAATGCAACATGTATTACGCAAATGAAGACATGATTCACTAAATGTGACAACTCCAAGCACATAGTTATGTTGTACATTTTCTTCAATCAACAACAATAGGAGTTAAAACAATAATGATCCAACAGATAATGAGTATGGATAATTTACTAAGTGTTAGCCTAAAGTTATTTTGGAAAAAAACATGTTAAGGCTACTGACTTGAGTAGATTATACGAGTCTGTTGCCTCGTAGACATCAGAAGAAGTTAACGTGAGGGTAGTACCCTGTAGGCAATCAATATCCAGAAAATACTCGGGAGCCATGTTGTACTCTATTTCCTTCGTGCGAGATTTATTTTTCCCAAAGATTTTTTGACTGTTCGTTACTCGCTAAGGTTTTAACGAGACAATATATGTTGATTGGAAAGATTGTGCGTTGTAATTTTTTTTCCTAGCAAATGTTATTTTTTCCCATTAAGTTTTATTACTCGAAAAGTTTTAACAGGGCAACTGGAAAAACAAATAGTGTTTTGATAGAAATCCTCAAAGGAGAATGTCGTAAATAAGTGGAATGTGGGGTTTTGCTAACGTAACCAATTTGATGGAGTTCTCAACCTCTCATTAGTGTACACTTTCCACCTCTTAAACCCCATTATGGGTGTAGGAAATAACTTCTATGCAACTTCCAGTGGTTTACATCCATACTTGTGAGAAAGACTCCCTTGGTACCTAAACACTCCACAATTCTCTATATACGGATTCGTTGTTCATTTGTATTCTGTCTTTCTATCTCTCAATTCGTTACTTACATTCTTGTGGATCACTTTGTTTTCACAATCACCAAACCAAACAGATCTCTCAATTCGTTACTTACATTCTTGTGGATCACTTTGTTTCCACAATCACCAAACCAAAGAGCTAGATTAAATACACTATTTTATAACATACTTTACAAATATAATTTTCAGAAGAAAAAAAATAAATAAATTAAAAGAATCGAATTTTCCAAAATAGTTACGAAAATTAAAATCAGATCGAAATCTACGAAAATAGAAAAGTTCAAAACTTAGAATAAGAAGTGTTCATCCAATTAAAATCAAAATAGGCAAAAATATTAGTTGCGTTCCAATTTCCAGCCCTAACCAAAACTTATGAAGGAATAAATAAAAGAGAGCAGCTAAAATAAATACCGATTTTTTTCTCACTTCAATACCACCAACTTAAAAAATACAAAATAAATAGGTAATGACATTATTACCCTTAATGAAAATCAATACCACACACAAAATTTATGTGATATTGATTTTATTAAGGGTATTAATATCATTACCTATTTGTTTTATATTTTTTATGTTGAGAGTATTGAAGTGAGAAATAAACAGTATCTGTTTTAGGGCTCCCCTAAATAAAATGTTCAATACTAGCTCCGGTAGGTAGTAATTACTATTTTTCATCAGTTAAAACTCAAAAAGGAAGAAAAAAATAATAAAGAGAAGAAGAAAGTCTTCTACTATGTAAAATATAAGTCCTTTTACTTTATAAGTTTCTCTTTTTAACCCCCAGCCGAACTACAACAAAGTGATTCTTTCACAAATGAGTATAAATGTGAGTTGTTAGATGAACACACACAATGTTGTGCGCAGAAAGAAATGGTTGTGGAATTGTAGTAGTTAGTAACACCGAGCCAACCTCTATTTTTCTTTTTCAAGTCTCAAATATATATATTCACTCTCTCTCTAGATCTCTCTCTCTCTTCACACCAGAAAGAAATTAAATGTTCTTCCAACACATTTTGTTGAAAACTACAAGTGGTAATTAATTTCATGAGAAGCAGCAGCAACGTTATTACATTCTTGAAGATAATTATGAGGAGCAGAAGCTGCATTGTGTTTGTGTTACTAATAAGTTTGGGATCTTTTTCTTACATGGCCGCCGAATCTTCATTATTATTATTACATGATGATGATGGCCGCCGCCTCAACAATTTCACTGCTATTCCCGGTCAGCATCCCAGCCCCGAACTCGTTGCTCACCATCTTCACAGGCAAGATGACCACTAATTTATATATACATATATATAATCTTTCCAGTTCATTTTTTTCTGATTTTTTCCAACTAATTATTAAATAGCAATAAATACTTGCATTGTGAATATTCCCTCATGACTTAATTGTATTTAGCACTAAATTTGTCAGAAGCATGTTTAATTAATTAAAAATTTGGATTCATTTAATTTTGTGTAGCTGCTGCAACACAAGCATTAATGCTTAGTACAGTAGGATTGGACTTTTGCTTGCTTATTAGTGCTTTTTACGCTCCTTTCTTGTCTCTTATTTTCTTTTCCTTTTCTTTCTTCTTGACCACCACTGTCAGTGTGTGTGTGTGTGTGTGTTTTTGTGTGTGAGAGAGAAAGAAGAGAGAGAGAGAGAAGATCTAGAGAGAGATTTCTGGCATCATTGCTTTTACTCTGATATATGTGGGGCCTACTGTTAACATCATTTCAGTTTTCTGTTGACTACCGGTCTCATGGTATCCTATGTCATGTATTTTTCTTTTTATACTTTTATACAATACTCATACTGATTAATGAATTAATACTAACAACATAATTAATTAAACCCCGAACAAATTAAATTAATTATAATTAAAATTAATCATGCAGAATAGTGAACGCGTCGTTGTCAAGAAGAGAAACGCTATCGTCCTACACAACCACAACCGGTGCCCGCGACCATTATGCCTGCCCTACGGGCAACCCAATCGACGACTGCTGGCGGTGCGACCCCAACTGGCGTCTCAACCGCCAGCGTCTCGCCGACTGCGCCATCGGCTTCGGCCAGTACGCACTCGGCGGGAAGGGGGGCCGCTACTACGTAGTAACGGACTCCTCCGACCGCGATGCCGTCAACCCGAAGCCCGGAACCCTCCGCTACGCCGTCATCCAAACGGAGCCACTCTGGATCGTCTTCCCCTCCAACATGCTCATCCACCTCTCCCAAGAACTCATCTTCAACTCGTTCAAAACCCTCGACGGCCGCGGCGCCAACGTCCACATCACCGGCGGCGGGTGCATCACGCTCCAGTACGTCAGCAACGTGATCATCCACAACGTCCACGTCCACCACTGCTACCAATCCGGAGAAACAAACGTCCGTTCGAGCCCCACGCACTACGGGTGGCGGACGAAATCGGACGGGGACGGAATATCCGTGTTCGGGTCGAGGGACATATGGATCGACCACTGCGCGCTGTGGCACTGCAAGGACGGGCTGATCGACGTGGTGATGGGGTCCACGGGGGTGACGATATCGAACAACCACTTCGCGCACCACAATGAGGTGATCCTGTTGGGACACAGCGACGATTACATGCCGGATTCGGGGATGCAGGTGACGATAGCGTTCAACCATTTCGGGGAGAGACTGATACAGAGGATGCCGAGGTGTAGGAGAGGGTATATACATGTAGTTAATAATGATTTCACGAGGTGGGAAATGTATGCAATTGGAGGTAGTGGTAATCCCACCATTAATAGCCAGGGGAATCGTTACATGGCTCCCTTTGATCGCAATGCCAAGGAGGTAACAACAACACCTCGTTCATTTTTTCTTGATGTTGTTGTTTTGTAAAAGAATTTAACGTATGTAATAGAAATTGTTTGCACCAAATTATTGGATGAGTATGAATTATGGTGCAGATAACGAAGCGCGTGGACACATCGGAGGAGAAGTGGAGGGATTGGAACTGGAGAAGCGAAGGGGATATAATGGGAAATGGAGCATACTTTGTTGCTTCCGGAGAAGGTGTTGAAGTTAAATATGAGAAGGCGTACAGCGTCGAGCCCAAATCTGCTGCTTATATTGACCAATTAACCCTCAACGCCGGTGTCCTTGGCACCAGGTTCGTTTTTTTCCTTTTTTCTCACTGCTTTTTTTCTTTACTTATTAGACATAAATAATCAACCAAAAAAATAAATAAAAAAGAAAAAAGAAAAAAAGAAAAGAAAAGCAAGCCCCTTTTTACTTTATGTTGCATTTCAATACCCAATGTTGGGCCATTCACTTTGAAAAAGGGCTTACTTTTTTTTAACCATTTCTTTGTTTTATCGTTAATTGATCTGCACATACTCGCGCGCGCGCACACACACCTACTTGTAATTTTCTACTTGTTATACATAAATTTACTAATTTGATCGTGGCTGGATTCTTTGTGTTGCAAAAAGCAGGGGTAACAATTTGGGGAAGTGGACGGCCGAAAACAATGGTTTGGGAGCTTATGACGATGCAAATTCAGGCGTATTCGAGGACTACGATGACTATTCGGGGAGCCAAAGGCGTTATTGCTCCGATAATTTCACTCTCGTTATAATTTCTCTTACGGCCTTGATCGTGTGTTTTTCTTTCCAAGTCTGAAATGATTTCGGGACAAGGCTCGAAGAAGTTGTTAGTGTCCTTAGTTCCCTCGTGTAGTTTAGTTGTCTTTTTACATCAGGAATGTTGATGTAATTGGATTCTCGGTTAATCTTAGGAAATGGCTAATTAGTTCCACTTTGCACGTGTGAGATGTAGCATTTTGATACTTAGTGTTGATGTAATTGGATTCTCGTTAATCTTAGAAAATGGCTTAGTTCCACCTTGTGGACGGGAGATGTAGCATTTTGACATTTTGCTCTGTCGATTAATTGCATTTTTTAGGCTTCAAATTCAAGTAATTGTTCACAATGACCAAATTGATTTGTTAAAAGTCAATAAAGGAAAATCATCATTTTAGTGAGTTTTTTAGGGTGCAAAATATGATTTTCATTCATCCTTCAACTTAGTTTGATCTAGGGATGGCAACGGATCGGTTTTGGGCCGGGTTTGCCTAAACCCAAGATCCAACCCACGAAAAATATATAAACCCAAGGTCCGTTCCAACTCATTTTGGCTTAGATCCAGATCCACCATAACTCAGACCCTAACTAAACGGTTCTGATCCACCAAACCCGCTAGACCCATTAACATACAAAAAGTTTAATATTTATTTAACTTTCATAACATTTTGCTTGTATACTTTTGCGAAATAATCTCAATGCTAAAATACAATATTTTAAAAAATCTTTACAAGTGATATAACATGAAAAATAAAAATTACAATTAATTATATTTAACTTCAATAATAAGTAAATTTGAAATGCAAGATAATTAGCGGTGGTCGACAAGTGATAAATATTACTCACGAGAAATCATATTCGAAAAATAAAACAGTGAAAATAAGTAAATGAGAATAGACAAGATGGGAATTGATAGTTTGATAAATGAAATCCGTAATTATATATATATATATACGGGTACGGTTCTGGGTCAACCCGACCCAGAACCACTTAGCTGACCTAGACCCGTCCCAAACGGGTCGGTTCCGGGTCCAAGACCCGCCAAACCCTTACCCATTGACATCCTAATTTGATCGTATAAATTACAAAGAAAAAAATATCTCACTAAATTATTTGACAATTAACATAACGAAAAATTCAGAAAATAATGTTTATCACCAAATTATTCGATGATAGGTATTTTATTGTAATTGGTCTTTGGTAATTTTTTTTAAAATAAGAAAATATAGGAAAATATAATATTCAAATAAATGGTGAGGAATTGATGAAGGATAAATATTTTTTTTAACTTTGTACTGTACAACATAAAGCTAAAAATATATTGAAAAGAGGAACATATCATAGTTGAATACTACCGATATTTATTTTGAAAATGGTCGATTAGACTGCGTTTAGATTTAGATTGAGAGATTTGAAAAATGAACGGATTTAGAATAAATCCAAATAAGAAATTCTTCTTTTCTTTTGAGAGAAAAATAGGATGATTTAAAATGACTAAAATTGGGAATAAATTTGAAATCCACCAAAATACCTCAAAAAACAAATAAAATGAGAACTATGAATTTGACATTCCTCGTCAAATGACTCAATCTAAACAAGTTAAAAGGCAGCAGTTTCTGGTTGATTGGAGCTGGTCTTTTAATTTGTATGATAAATTGGTGGATAATTGGGTTATAGCTTATTATGTCTCTCATATCTCACCTAATTTGATTAATCTTCAAGTTTGTAATCTTATTGATATGTATGTTTGTAAATGGAATCTTAATAGAGTCAAGCATATTATCCTTGATTTTGTTTTACCTAAGATTCTAGGAATTCACGTTCCTAAAACGATGGAGAAGATGCTATGTTTTGGGGTGAGACAAACAAGGTAAGTTTTCTTTTAAAAGTATATTCAACTGGATTTACAAGATGGATATAGGAACTCTTTGGGATTCTTTGGTTGGGGTATTACAAGGGATGGGATGGGTTGTACCGTTTTATACAACGTTTGGTTTTCTTTAGTTAACCATCCTTAACTGTTGGGCCCACCCATTTAATACCCCATTCGAATTATTGTTAGTCAAACCAAAGTTGGCTTGACTAGTTATCACATATTGAATCCCCTTTTGTAACCCATGTGTAATGTCGAAAATATCCTTCGAAAATACATCAATTATGAAATTAATAGGTATAAATACTACAATCTTCATCTTCCCCTTTCTTGCATCGTGCCCTAGTTTTTTTCCAGGTAAAAACACATGAACAAAAAAAAAAAAAAAACCCATCTTCTTCCTCCTTCCCAATCTCACAGCTCGTCACCACCTTCCTTGTTCAAACCCAATTTATCTACTACTCTCAATTTCAACCACCGTAGCCCCGCCCACCACCACCGCCCTCCTCCTCTCACATTTGCAATCAATCACTTCCCGTAACAGGAATTTAAAAAAAAAAAAAGCCCCAATTTCAACAATCGGAATCGGAACCCATATATGGGATTGATTACTACAACATCCTGAAAGTGAACCGCAACGCCAGCGACGAAGACTTGAAGACAGCCTACCGCCGCCTCGCCATGATTTGGCATCCCGACAAAAACGCCAACCAGCAGGAGGCCGAGGCCAAATTCAAGCAGATTTCCGAAGCCTACGATGTACTCAACGACCCTCAAAAGCGCCAGATCTACGATCTCTACGGCGAAGAGGGACTCAAATCGGGCCAATTCCCCCCTCCCCCCGCAGCTCTCGCGCCCAGAACCAGAGTTTCTACTACAACAACCACCAGCAGCATCCAAACCCTAATTTCCGATTCAATCCGAGGAATGCCGACGATATTTTTGCCGAGATTTTTGGGGAGAGCAGTAACGGGAACGCCGCTGGTAATACTGCTAGCAGCGACAGTAATGGAGCCAGGAAAGATGGGTATTTCAGGAGCACGACGATGAACGGCGGTGGAGCTAGAGAATTTCCTAGCGACGGCGACGGCGACGGCGGCGGAGGATCCAAGAAGGCGACGCCGGTGGAGAACGCGCTCATGTGTAGTTTGGAGAAATTGTATGTTGGTTCTACTCGGAAGATGAAGATTTCCAGGAATGTAATTGATTCTCATGGGTATGTTTATAGTTTACTAATTTTAATTTCCATTTATTTTTTTTCCTTTTAAATTCGATCATACAATTTTTTTGGGATAATTATATGCTCGAATTCCTCAGCGGCTTTTAAATTGAAGATCTTTTAAATTGCCGCAATCACAGACATCGCGATGCATTCCATATGAACTGAATTCCTCAATGGCTTCGTTACGCGAATTCTTTCGAGAATTAACGTTGTTGTAACTCATTACGAGATATGAACATACACCAACTTATATATCATTGTGATCCCGAGAAAAGAATTATTTTTTTATTAAAAAAAAGTGTAAATTATTGGAGAATTGAGGGTTTCTTCCGCAGAAGATTGTACCCAAATATAAATGAAGAAGAGGGAGATGTATTGGTAGAGAGAGAATCGATTAATTAATAAATGTATTAAAAGGGGCAAACCAGTCCAACCATAGAAAACAGTGTTATCACCCAAACAAAACATGATATTATTATTGCAGGTATTATTAGTTTCTCCCCCATAACTCCAACCAAATAATGGATTATTCACTGTGAATCAACAATTAATTAGTCCCAGTATACCATATCCCATCTGTAGCTATCTATCCAAACCATCCAACCAAAGATGCCCTTTGAACATTCACTTCCATGGATCTATATTTGAAAAATGAAAGTAAATCCTAGAATTAAATTTTTTTATTTCGCAGATCTCCCATAATTGTATTCTCATTTGTGATTTCCTTGTACCAAAAAGGTGGAATCCCTCGCTCCCAGGGTCCCCCTTCCCTTGGCTCGACAGACGACGAGTATTTGATGGAGAAAAAGTAAATCATGGTGACTCAACGATCATTTAGGATAGCGGACCCGGACCTGGTGTCCACAAGAAACCAATCCTTATTGGTGCTACTTGAGAAAATTTACCCAATGTACCCAAACTCTGATCCTGAAATCGTAATATATTAATTTATATTTTTATGTTTAAAAAAAAACACAAAGGATCTTGAATTCTTGATATACATATGATCAAGAACAACAGTTATAATTAGTAATGATCTAGAAATGTTATGAATTACTCGGATAGATAAAATAATTGCGGTTGAAATGGAAAATATTCATTCAAACTCCAAAGTGAGCATCAAATCCTTACAAAACTAATAAGATAGATATGGCAGTCCTGCCAATACAATAAAAACCATTAAAGCTAGAGTAGTCTACTGCTAATCTACCTAGCTACAACTACTAGCCCAAAAATGGATATCTTCTTGAGGGCTTTCCCTTATAAAATCATTTCCTTCCTCTTCCAGCAAAATTTCTTGATCAATACTCCAGAGTCCACGCTCTACTCACGTGATCAGCCTCCAGACTAAAGTTGCTAAATAAATAAAAAACAATTTTATTAGTAAAAGCGATTCATCTAAATGACGTCGTCCAGCAATTAGCCCCAAATTCCCAATTCGCAACCCTAATCCTCACATTTCTCCCCCTTTACACCAGCCATGACTCATGGCTGCAAATTAGGAAATTTCACCATCATCTCTTCAGCATCTTACCGTATGGCTTCCTCCACCGGTAAGTGGGCCCACTGAATCAGCCACTGCGTCACCTCCTTTCTACTACCTTCTCCGGTATCAGCAGAAACTGATTTTTGTCATCCAACGCAGGTATGGTTTCTACTACATAATCTATCTTTCCTACATTCTTCTTTAATTGGGACATGTGAAATATAGGATGAACCTTAGGATCTTTAGGCAGTTGTAACTCATAAGCTACCTCTCCAATTCTCTTAAGAACCAGAAATGGTCCACAGTATTTTGGGCCCAATTTCCATACTCTGATCTTCCTCAAACTAAGTTGTTTATATCGCTTTAGTTTGAGATAAACCCAATCCCCCTCTTGAAATACTCTCTCACTCCTATGAGTATCTGCAAATCTTTTCATCCTTTCATGTGCTTGCCTCGGAAGTTCCTTGAGCTGTTGGGTGGCTGATTGATGTTCTTTAGCCCAAACCTCCATTCCCATGGTTTTATTAACCAAATGTTCCCCATATCCCATCTATGGTGGAGGGTAACCATACAATGCCTCGAAAGGGGTTCTGTGAATGGTGGAGTGGTGAGTAGTGTTGTACCACCACTCTGCCATGGCAATCCAGTTACTCCAATCTTTAGGATAATGTCCACACATGCACCTCAGATAGG